CCCTTCTACTAGTAGTTTTTGTCTGTTTTTTTTTAATTGCAGTCTTCTTTCTCCTTTCGGGTGCTTGTTTGTTCGTGCTTTCGATTCCCCCTCGCCTCTCTCGTCGGCTTCCCCCACCCACCCCCTCCCTCCCCTTTGGGCGGCGGCGCCTTGCCGCCGGGCTGTCACTGCCCGGGCTGCGCTTGCTGATATTTGTTGTGTAAGCTTTCCTCACAGTGCGCCGTGTGGGCCGTGGATCGCCACCTTCTCCTCTCTGCGCCTGTCACGGTGCGGCTGTTGCCACCGCCTCGTCTCTGTCTCTGACCGAAGACTCAACGTCAATTACTCCCTGAGAGCAGCTCACGGTGGCTGCGATTTATGCCATGTGCGCCGGAGTTGTGTGCTGCTGTGCCTGCGTTTTTGTGTCCATTATGCTGCCTTTTATTATTTGTGTGTTGGTACGCATCGCTTTGTCATGACGGTCTTTTTTTGTTTTGTTTGTCGGTTGTGGCAGTGGTGAGAAATTTCTTGTTGATTGTAGATTTGAAGGGGGCGAGGCTGCAAAAAAAAAAAAGGAGCTGTGTGTTCTTTAATTGTGCGAATGAGCCTGCAGAGCACTGTGGCGAAACAGTTGCTGCGGCAGTCCACGCTGCAGCCGCGACTGAAGCTTCCGGCCGGTAGGATTGTGTCGCTGGAGGAGGGTCGACGTTTGGCGCGCCTGGTGCACGAGGAGGAGGAACACACAGCTGCTGCCAATGTGGGTGCTGTTGAGAATCGCTCGCTGAGTACCCCCGTCGTTCTGGAGGAGCAGGTCTCAAAGCGCATCTTGCTGCTGCGGCGGAAGAGTAATAAGGCCGCCAACGTCAAGGCGGCTGTCGCCTACGCTCAGCGCAGCAAGGGGCCAAGTGCAGTGGAAAAGGTTGGCAGTGAGGTGCGGGACATTGCAGTTAAGTTGCTGCGCAAAGATGGGTCAGCCCGTGGTGCATTGAAGCAACGCCACAGTCGCGGTAACGGTGCAAAGAAGCGAAAGGGGACGTCACATAAGTGAATGAACAGTGAAATTGTGAGTCATTCGTTACGTAATTGTGTAATGTGGCGACTGAGAGTTATCTCGCTCCGTGTGTCTTGTCTCTTGTTTCTGTTCCCTCTTACACTGCACCCTGCGAATAATTGAGGCTTTTTGTGGTTGCCAGGCGTATGGCTTGTAATTCGTGTCTTGCTTTTGTTGTTTTTCCTTTTCATTTCTCATTCATTTTTGTTCCGCATTTTTAGTAGGACCTTCGGCTCCCCGGCGCTTGCGTTACTTCGCTCACTATTGGGTGTGCCCGTGTCTGCGTGGATCGGTGGCTCTTTCGCGTCGTCGTCGTTGTTGTTGTTGTGGTTTCACGGGGCTCACCGTCCAGTGTTGGAGCCGACTTCTGCTCAACGGAAAAGCCAAGGCGGGGGCCTCGCGCCGCCCCAAGGCTGTCCTCGTCAATAGTTCTAGCAGTACATCGTTACTGTCCTGTTTTTCTTTTTCCTTCTTGGGCAGCTACTGCTTCTGGGAGGCGTCGCGGCCCTCTCGCCTGGAATGTTCTCCACTTGTTTCTCGCTGCTCTTTGGCTGGACGTCTCTGCTGCTGACGGACATCGCGCTGTCGAATTTTTCGGTGAATCTCGGTCTTGCGACTCTGCGTAACGCGTCGTGTGCGACCATGCAGATTGGGGCGACGGGTGGCACCTTCAACGCGTCGACGTGGTCTCTTGGCTTGGCAGAGCCATCGCTGCTGTCGTGCGCTGTGGAGGTCGAGATGGGCAGTGTTCGCTCGCGAGTCTTCTCGAACGTTCGCGTGCTGCCGAGCGCGATCGCGCTCAAGCGGGCGTCGGATGATCGCTGCTCCAACGAAGTCTTCCGTAGAGACCGTTGCACGTTTGCCATGCGGCTGGAGGGTCTCCGGGTGGAGCCTCCGGTTCCGCTGCTGCAGCTGGGGATGGAGGCGGCCAAGCGGTACATTGAAAGAGAGGCGGGGGTCTACGCCTGCGGAGTTGCCCTCCCGCGCCTTGAGGGGGAGCTGCGGAACCGCACCGTTAATCCACCCGCGTCGTGTCCCCCGTTTATTGAAGGGGACACACCGTTGAGTAAATCACCCCTGTTCCGTGCCTTGCTGAACATCTTGAATAAGTTCCCGGAGGTCCTCGGAGTACGCCTGGAGGCATCTGCGTTGGCTGAGACGACGATTCGATTGCACCTGAACTTCTCTCACGGGCTCCACATGTTAATGCACAACACGACGGGGTCCACCGGCGGGTTTATCTCTTCTTTAGAGGCGTTTCAGTCACTACTGTCCGCGCTTTCGCATGGTCGTGTAGAGTGGAGTGGCACACCACATTTTCCTGCCGCCGCGAATGGCTCCATGCAGGTTGACGTTTCTGAGCCCTTTGAGATGTCACTAGACGTCTCCTTTTATGGCCTTCGCTGTGCTGCCGATGGGCTTCACTGCAGTCTCCCGTGTGCCGGCGGAGCCCAGTTGCGCAACATTCGTCTCAGCGGGCTGCATGAGTGGGATCGGCTTGTGGTGAACCACATCGGCCCCTGGGCCTCGCAGGTCGCTAATGGGGTCTGCAATTCCGTGGTGTTGCCCTTTTGCGCCACAAGCGAGAACCGGTTTCAAATCCCCATGAAGGAACGAACACCACTTGTCATGGTGCCCCCAACCGCATTGTCAATCATCTCCGTGTTTCTTGCCGTGGCGTTCGTTGCTGGAATGATTTGTCTGAGCGTCCTGCGTCACCGTCGTTCCCCCGCGAAGCTGTGGGACGGGTCCGACATCTCACTTCAGCGTGTGCTCTTGGAGGATACGCTGCTGGTCCTGATGATTGTGGTCAACGCACTGGCGTTTCTTTGGTCAAACACCACCACCGCCGCGACGCTTGTCGTTGGCGACGAGATGCGAATGTTGTCCTTCTCACTCGTGGAGACGACTCGTAGTCTGTACGAGGCTGGACTGAAGCCGTTTGCGGTGTTGGTCTTCATCTTCAGCGGGGTGTATCCGTACTTCAAGCTTGCGAGCATTTGCGTCTGCACGCTCGTCCTTCAGAAACCAGAGTTGGTGATACTGAGGGTGATCGATTATTTTGGAAAGCTCTCCTTCCTTGACTCCTACGCGATGGTGATCATGGCCGCTGGCCTGCAGATAGCGGGCATCGCCGACGTCCACATTCTTCCTGGGTTTTACGTCTTCCTTGCGGCAACGATTCTTTGCATACTCATCGGAAACTACGCCACGGCTTTGTGGCGCCGCAATACCTCGCTTCGTTGCCGCCCAGAGTCAGTGGTCATAAACGTGGAAGACGCTTTAGACAACGGTTTCCTCTTGACCCCGGAAGATGAGGCTGACAAGAATATCTCAGGGGCTCATAAGACCTCGTCAAGGCGACTGCAACGCCTGCTTTGGCGCGCACTCAACATCCTCTTCGTTGCCGCTTGCATCTTGCCCGTGTGGGTTGTGCCATGCCTGAGCTACCGCGTGAGGGGCGTTGCTTCCGTGCTTCAGCCAACCGACAGGAATATGACCTTGTTTGAGCTCGCCTCCACCTCAACCATGCTTCTTGTGACGTGCGTATTCACCGTCGGCATTGCGCCAATGTTGTATGTTGTCTTTTACCCACGGTGTGCGCTGCTTGCCTCTTGGGGCGCGGCTGACGCACTCCTCATGGCGTGCGTCGCCGGCCTTCTTCAGCTGGGGCAGTTTGTGGAGTTTATCATTGGGAGGGACATGAACGCCGTGTACACCGCGGAGGCGCGCCTCCTCTGGCCGCTGCTTCCGCTTCTATTCTCCTCCGCGTGGCAGTGGGTCCTCGCCGCCGAACAAGTCTTTGGGTTGTCGGGGCGCATCAAAGAGGCCTGGGCGGCACGCGGCGAGGCGGCGGCGGCGACGAGGGAGGCAGAGCGGGAGGGGGAGGGAGGCGGGGAGAGGCCGGCAACGCCCCCGCAGCAAGGCATTTAGCAAAAAAAAAGCAAACGGTAAAATAAAAAAATCAGTCAGCCAATTAACCTCCTGAAGTGGTTCGTGAGCTTCCATCTTATCTCTTCTCTCTGGCGGTTGCTTTTCCATCGTTGCGGACGCATGAAAGTCACACTCACGCGAAGTGTGTTGCGGCGCGCACCGCATTTTATACGTGGGCTGCCTTGATGCCCGGGCTGAAACTGCGGCGCTGAAAAGCCGTGGGCGTGCGGCGGAAGCGAAGGGCGCTGGTGGAACTTTGGCTTTCGTTTGCGCATGAAGTCGCCTACGGGTGTCCCAAGAGGGGTACACACACACTTAAGAATAATAAGGGAAACTGCGGCAGTGGTGCTGGGGGCGCCGTCAAGGGCCAGAGGGTGAGGAATGGGGGGCGGAGGAACTGGCGCGGGTTTGCCCTATGCGATGCGGCCTCGTGTGTCCGCGGCGATGATTTGATTTGATTTTTTTTTTCTACTTTGGGCGATTTCTTTGGCTTCCTTTTTGCACCACAACCGCAACAAAAATGAAAGAAAACCACCTTCGCCATGCATCTGAGGAGTTGAAAAGGTTCAAATTGAATGCTGGACGTTAGCCGCTTTGCGGCGTTATTGAAGTGTTCTGCGCGTAGCCGTTTTTTCCTCCCCTGCCCTGCCCTGCCCTGCACTTTTGTTTCTCTGCTTCTGTGTGGCCCCCTTCTTGCCTTTCCCCACGATTGAGGCATGCGCACGCGCATGGCAATGTGGTATATGCGTGGAGGAGTGGGGTGGGAGGCGGGCACACGCTCCTTCTCTCTTCCTCTTCCTCTTCCTCTTCCTCTTCCTCTTCCTCTTCCTCACTCACACATGCATTGTGTGTGTGTGTGTGTGTGTGTGTGTGACGTTGCTGCACCTGCCATATGCTTCGCCATTTCCTTTTTATTCGCTCTTTTTTTATATGTTTTGCGTGGATGGCGCATTCTTTACGCACGCGTCTCTGTGACTCCTTTTCTCCCCACCAGGAAGGAAAAATGGCGAGCACGACAGGAACTTGGCGCCCGTGCGCCGCAATGAGCAGGCACTTTCTCCCAAGACGTGCCACTCCCTGCCGCTGCCGCCCTCGCCGTGGAAATTCTCGCTGCTGATGGCCCACGTGCGTCACGTAACCCTTCGCGTCTGAATACAGTTCTTCTTGAATCAGCTACGCACGGAGTGCGCCCGCGACACCGGTACGCCGCGTGAGTTTCCTCCGTCGCGGCACGGCACGGATGCGGCGTAGATGTGTGCGACACTGCAGCTGTTGCAGCCTCCGCGTTGCAGCGACCGCCACTCCTCCTCTCCGCACGGTGGGGCGCCCGCGGTGGCGGAGGGGAACGCGTCCGCGAAGGGCCTCGGCGCTCAAGGCGCAGTGCTCACCGCAGGAAGTCACTGCTGACACCCCCCGCAGTGGCCACCTACCCGCGAGGAGTCGAGGTTGCTGCTTGGCGCGACGGAGCCTACATGCGCTGAGCTCTGGGCTTGACACAGCGCAGACAACGCCCGCCGCCCAGCTCTCAGCCACGCCCAGTAGCGAGGGGGTAGGCCAAACTCCGGGACGCATCGCACACCTGCATCGAAGCCCACGGAGCGGGAGAAAAAAATAAATAAATGAAATAAACGGAGGAGGTGGAGGGGACTTGTTAGTTGCGTTTCAAGTTATTCTTCTTTGCTTCCTCAATTTCTGCCATCTTGTGTACGCTCTTAGCGCAGATGAGGGCGTCTGCGAAGGTCTGGCTGCAGGAGCAAAGGAAGCGACGAAATGCTTTGCCTCCCGAGGAGGAAGCACGGATTCAGAGACTGAAGGAGCGCCTGCAACTCGGTGCCCCTCTTCAGCCGCATGAAGTGCAGCAAATAGGCAGGCGGAGCCAACCGACACCAGGCACTTCGCTTGCCACTGCCAGCCTGCCTGAGCAAAACGCTATTCTGCTCGCCCGCCTCGACAACATGGAGAAGCTGCTTCGTCACGGCGAGGAGGAGCGAATACGGCTGCGCACCCAACTGCTGCAGGCATCCGACGAAAATCGCCGCTGTGCCATGCAGCTCATACACTCTGCTTTGGAGAGGCATAAGGAGGAGTTGCTTTTAGAGGAGCAACTGTTCCGGGAAAGGCTGCTACGGCTTGAGAGCGAAACAAGACAAAATATCCTTTGGGAGGTGAACCGCCGCTCACGTGGCAGAAGTTGCAGGCGTGGCCCAAACAATGAGCGAGTACAAATAAAAACGAGACTCTTATCAAGCCAACAGTTTTACACCTAATCACTTCAATGACTCTGCAGTTGTGAGAACAGGCGCCCCACAGAATACATCTACAACAAATCACAACAACACATATTACTCGGGGCTCGAATGCGCGTTAATAATGCCTTGCTCATTTGGGTTTCTGTAAAATATTCGCCGCATGAGCTGCGCCTTTGACCGCAATAAATCTCGGTTGAAAGGAAAAAAAACCTATTGGTCCGGCGTTGGCAGGCCTTACAGGGTTCTGTGCGGTGGGAGTCCCGGGCCAGTGCCGGGAATCTCTCTTGTTGTGCGAAGAGCGCCTCGACGGAGTGTGTGTCGCTGCTCCGTGGCCTTCCGCAGGGCTTGTTGGAGGCGGCGGAGCCACTTCTCTGCGTGACAGGTCAGCTGCAGCGGATGAATGGAGGACTCTCGGCCCTGTGCAGCGCGACTGTGAGGGCGCCGCCGGGTTTGCGGCGTTTGCTGTTGGAAGAGCGAGTTTGGCGGCGACGGGTGGTGGTGGAGCGGACGCGGGACTACGCGGTTTGCATTGTTGGTGGCTTCCTGCCACCTGTGCAGCGCC